TAGTTGTTGCAATGTTGCATTCGTGTTGTGGCAGTTGTTTTATGTGTCTGCTTTCATTCTGATTCATGATTGTTCTGGTTTTGTTATCGTTGTTCTCGTCGTTCGGCTTGTGTTGGCTCGCGAACAAGGTTATACATCACAACTTTTTCTTGTGCAACATCTTATATAGCTTTGCAGGGCCTCGCTCGCAAAGTTTCTATCTGCAGGGCTGTGCTCGCAGATAGACTTGTAGCTCCCAGAACTCTGACTTCAGAAGAAGTGCCGGCCATGGCATCGATCACTCCAGTTCAGGAAGCAGCGATCAAGGCATTCCTTGCCAAGGCGGAGAGTGGAAGATTGGTGCAAAGCATGACGGAGTTGCACGACTACCTGATGAGCGAGAACCTCGCCTGGAGACAACTCCTTTCGTGCACACTGATCGGGGTTCACCCGGCCAACAGGGATGGATTGGGCGTGAGCGCTGCTCACGTCCACGAGCTCATAGGCTCCATCGCAGCGATCGGCTTCTCCCTCGAAGAATGTCGCTCGATTTGTTTGGAAATTCCTCCAGGGGATGAGGGCGACGAAGTCAGGAGCTTTAATGAAAAGCTCGTCCTCGATTCCAAAGGCAAACTGTCCCCAGTTTTGCCCGGGTCGCTCCGATATGCCAGCATTGTCGGGTCGCACGGAAATCAGGCGATGCGAGCCTTCCTGGCCGGAGTTGAGCACTCCGAGCCCTCCGTTTGTGTTGACGGGAAGTTGTCCGTGAGCAAGTTGGAGGCCCACGATCCTGCGTGGCACAAGGCGATCTACGGCGGGATCCAGTGGATGATCATTTCCGCGGATGTGCAGAAAAAATTCCCGATCTACGCATCCCTGGCGCAAGCGGCGGGGAACACAGGCAACCAGGTGGCCTCGGGGGAGCACGATCTGCAGGTTTGCAGAAAGGTGATCAGGGCAGTGGAAGCCTTTATGGCCCGGAGCCCGGATGTCCGTGTGCAGTACAGCGACGTCGCTCCGGCAATCCTCCGCTCCAGGCCACCGTCAGCGGCCTCTTTGCCGTCGATTTTTACCTTCGTGATGAAATGCTCCGGAGGCTCAGGAGAAGATGCCTACATGAACCTCACGGAGAAGTTCATCCGAGGGCACGGAGCCACCAATCGCTCCCTCGGACCGGACCTGTGGACAGCATTGACCTCTGAGATCAAGGGGTCCTCCCAGTTTGTATTGTTTCGACACATGCTGCTGAAAGTGGCTTTTTGCTGCCCTGACAAGACACTGACCGTGACAGACGTGAAGAAAACCCTCACGTCGGGCAATTCCAAGGTGGTGCAGGCCGAGAAGGTCTTTCTGAAGACCAAGGCCTTGCTTGCGGGTGAGCCCAAGAAAGACGAGGTCCAGGCGGCATTGGGCCAGTTGGAGGTGAACCTGGCCATCTTCATCCTCGGCAAGAAGAAGCTCGTGAAGCATGAGACCTTGGAGGATGCATGTGTGGAGTGCCTCAGTGCTTTCGGGGTTACCTCCCCCTGGACTGCCAGCCCTTCTAGGCCAAGCACGAGTACACCTTCCCCGAAGGACAAGCACACGGGACCGACTCCTTTCAGCAGCATGATGGTGATGTTTTATCTTGATGCCCATGCTCCCCCTAAAACCTTTTAAGCCATATATTCCAGCAGGTGGCTATTTACTTTATCATTTAGATATACCCTCACTAGCCAAAAACTGGCGACCCGAAATTCTTATCTGTAGAAGCTTTGTATATAGATGCCCCCAAAAGCGCCAAATCTGGACCTATAGCTATGTAGCCATGTTCCGATTATAATCCATGCCATTATATTATGTCGTTTCCGAGGTATCGTTTACTATACAAATCTATGAGCAGCATCGCTATTTCCTTTGTCCTGTTTCAGTGTCCTGCGAAGCCCTATAACACCGAATACTTGAGCAGAAGATTGCACTGGACTTTGTTGTCGTTCACAGTCCCCCAGACCACATAACCCTCGTGCTCGTGTCTGGTGCTAGCTTCGTCCCATCGTGACTTTGAATATAAGGGCTCTCCGGCTGTTCGACTCGAGCGGCAACATCGCGAACTCGGCGAGGGTCCTGGACCAGGGGTTTGAGGTTGGAATGACCGTCATGAGAAAGGCGGACAAACAGGTCGGGGTCATTCTGGACATCACGGCAGAGCACGTCATGCTCGATCTGGACGGCAAGCACTTCCGGGCATCCAGCGATTCGTTCGTTGAGGGGAAGTGGAAGCGGCACAATGTTGTGAAGGAAGCCGAGCAGTTGGATGCATGGGTTAAGCACTCACCCCTTGAAAGCCCCGACTTCAGCATCGGCATTGCACGGGGTTCAATCCTTCAGGCCATGTACGATCAGTACTCCAACTTCGCTGAGGAGAAGAACCTTAAGATCTTTCTCAAGCCCAAAGGGGTCGTTAGCAACAAAAACTTTGCTGTGAACATCCTCAAGGTGCCCGTCGCCACGACCCGTATCGACTTCAAGACAGCTGGGCAGAAGTCGCAGCCTGGGTCTCTGAAGATTGGGATTTTTGAAGGATTCGGCGAGACCCTGAATGTGAGCATCGTTCCCTTGTTCACGGCCCCCAAGGATTCCCAGCAAGGGTTTGTGAGCCCAGCATGGGCCATGCAGACATCAACCAACAAGGAGGAATGCAACATGGAGGTTCACGGGTGGGCCAAGGGATGGGAGAATCAAAAGATCCACGAGGTAGATGCCGTCCAGGTCCCATGCATTCGAAACTATAAAAAGGTTTCAGCCGGGGATCACCTGATCCTGTATCGCCCTGAGATGGTTCGATCGGAGCCTGTCGAGGCCTTGGAGCCTGTTGCCAAGAAAGCTCGCAAGTAGGACGGATGCAGACGACAGTGCTGTCGTCGTGTATGTACGTGTTCATCGATTCCTCCATTTGGCCAGTCATTTTGATGCAAACAGTGGCATTCTGCAATCAAAATCCTATGTATGTACATAACAAACCCAGCATATAGTATCCTGTCTATATAAGGCCCAATAATGAAAACTTAAATAATATAGTTTGTTGTTCCAAACTTGGATTTCGATACTTGTTTATGCAAAGGCAGATGACCGTTGTTGTGCATGGCATTGGCCACGATCGGCGCTTTTCGAGCAAGAGCATGCATGGAGTGTGGAAATGTGTGCAGTGTGATGCCGTGCATGCACAGGTTTGCATGTGAGTGGATATCGGCACGGAGCAAAGGTTCATTTCATCTTGTGATTGCATCTCGAGCTTCCTTCGGTGTTGCATTTTCATCCAGCAGGGCCTTGCTCGCTGGATAGCAGTTGCAGGGCTCGGAGCTCGCACTGCTCATGTCGGGTCATGAGGCTGAGGACGGCGACCAGGCTGATGTCGTGGAGAAGCAGAGCGAGGGTGAGGAGGAAAAGCCCATCAGGCTATACAAGGCCACGTGTGTGTCGGGCGGCGGCCTTGGCAATGCGGTGTGGCTGCCAGAGGTCACCGCTATCGGCGGGCAAGAGTTCCTTCGATTCAGCAAGTGGGATCGAGACCTTACGAAACTTTGCACGAAGAAGCCACTCAACTTGTATGCCTCCGGCAAGAAACCACTCAACAACATCAACGTTGAACTCTTCCCCGAGCTGGCCTCTCTCAGGGTGCAGGCCTGCAATCAAGCCCTCAAGAAGGTGATGGAGCAAGCGGCTGAATCTGAGGGGGTTCCACTGCCCAGCAAAATCAGGCCGGCGACGGCACAAGATGCCTTTCTCGCAGGACAAACAGTGGTGATCCAGGCTCCGGCGGTTCTGAATGAGGCCGGCGACGAGATCGAGCCAGAACAGCCCATCCGAATGTTGTGGGGTGTTCGCGGGCACGATTTGTGGATGGAGTCCACAGAGGATGTGATCCGGTACTTCGTTGCGGCTGTGACACACTCCAAGCCCCACGAGCAGCCAGTCAGCAAGAGAGCTAAGGGAAAAGGGGCGGCGAGCCCAAAGAAGAGACGACGAAGAGGTCCGAAACCCAAGCATGCACGAGAGGACTCCGACCATGAACCCCCGGCCATCAATGTAGATCAAGACTAAGACCTGTCTCACTTTCACTCGTTTTCCTCCGTGCAGCTTTTTGCAAAATGAGGAGAGTGCATGTTCCTTGCATGACGATAAACTCGCCTATGGAAGCACGTTGCTACTTGCTTTTCCTTTGTGCCGGCCGCCCATTCCTGCTCATGCTGTGCACACAGAAGCAACAAAAAAAGGGCTGTGTAGGCTAGAGCCGGGTAGCCGATGAGCAGCTTCGACAAGAAGAAGGACGATGACAAGAAGAAAGATGACGACAAGAGCTTCGACAAGAGTAAGGACGATGACAAGAAGAAAGATGACGACAAGAAGAAGGAGGTTCACAGTAACAAAAAACGACGTCTCGAAGCTGCAGCTGCGGCCTTAAGGGCCGCCGCAGACTTCGTCCATGCTCTTAGTTTGGAAGAGGATTGAGTTTTTGGAAGGATGGGAGGTTGAAAAAGGCAGTGTGCCGTATGTCGAGCGAGAGAGACAGACACACAGAAAAAAGAGAAACAATTGTCAGGCACACAAGCAAACACACACGAGCATGGAAACACAGCCGCACTTATGTATATGTTGATACATGTAGACGTAGACATACCATAGGTGCACATGTATGTACAGAGGGAGACAGAGCATGTGACCATGTTCTTCAGCACACATGCATGGTGTGGGCTGTTGGGTCTGTGGCGGGGTATTTATGGGTGTGGGGGTATCGGGCTGTGCGAACTTTGGGGGTATGTGGTGTGTGACTGCAGAGAGTGTAGGGTCAGTGCAGCGGTGTTCATGTCAGTTGCATGTCCGCTCATGAGCATACAGTCATGTGCAGGAGTGACACGTGCTTCTCTGATAGAGTGCAGTCGCTGGCAGCATGTCCGGTTGTGCATTGCGAACTTTGTTTGTTTGTGGCTGTTTTGCCTTAAGAGCATTTTCGAGCTTTGCTGCGAAGTGCAGTGCTGGGCGCCATGAAGAGGGTCGGGCCCACCGACCCGGAGATGGGCCTCGCGGTGAAGGAGGAGGAGAAAGTGGAGGTTGAGATGGAGGTGGAGGAATGGGCCGCCGATGGCGGCCATGACGGCGACGGCGGCGATGAGGGGTCGTGGGGTGTGGCAGATGCCGCCTGGCTCCAGCCGCCGGAGGAGGAGGAGACCGGGGGGTGGAATGATGGAGCAGGGTATGGATACGGCGGTGCTCACTACGACGAGGATGACGACTACAACGAGGGCTGCTGGAAGCGCCAGAAGACCGAGTACGACCACAAGTACCAGTACGGCCAGGAGTACGACAAGAAGTACCAGTACGACCAGAAGTACCAGTACGACCAGAAGTACCAGTACGACCAAAAGGACCAGTACGACCGAAAGTACCCGTACGACCAGAAGTACAACTACGGCCAGGGGCAGAAGTGGAACTACGACCAGCAGGTCAAAGGCGAGTATGTGAAGGGCGGCTGGCAGGACCAGCACGGGACATTCCACAAGTATCTGACGACAATAATTAACTTGTGTTGTTTGCTTATGCAAACCCTGAAGTTGCCCTGAACCCTATATACATTAGAAACCCTAAACCCCAAACCCTAATTGTATAATATATCCCTATATAATCCTGGCCTTAATTCTCGGTGTTAAACCTTTCTTCAACAAGTGCTTCCCCTGCAACAGCCAAGGCAAGGCGGGGGCCGAGATCGACCCAGGACAAGGGCCGGCCACCAGATCCAGATGCAGAAGAGAAAGAAGTCCGAGAAGGAGCAGATGGAACGTGAGCGGGCCGCAGAACGGAAGGTGCACAGCGAGCAGATTTCGCAGGCTCTGGACACTATGTCTCGCATGGCATCGGTGTTGGAGCGGAAGCTGTGAAGCCGGTGCATGAAGCCTCCTATACAGTTTCAGTTGTGGGTTTCTATAGACCTCCATAAACCCTATATACTATATAATCCCTGGACCTTTTATAATTTTGCAACCTTATATATAACCGAGTGTAAAGGAGTACATCTTAAACCCCCAAAGGAGTGCTTGCAAGGGCTTCTCGGTTTCCGGGTGTGCGACTTCTAGTCTTGAGAGGGGGGGGTCACATCGGCCCAGAGCATCGAACGACTTCAGAAACACACTACATGTCCAGTGCGAAGTGGCCCCCGCCGTATGCTGACGATCCGGCCTGCTGGCATCCGAAAGAGGATGCGGTCATTACGTCCTTTTGCATGTCTGTGTGTGTGTGTGTGTGTATGTTTGTAAATATACATATATATATACCTATGCATATATTTGGGTGTATAGTAGTATATTGTAGTATAACCTGTTTAATTACATACAAAGATGTCTGTATCTGTGTGTGTGTCTACTATGACTGCAGTGCATTCAGCTGAATGACATGCAAAGGGCCGTGCAAGAAGATGACATGTCTTCGTGTACGATGCTGCTTGCATTTTGCAAGCCCTGCTATAAGAGGGTGCATTGCGAGCGGGGTGGTTCCGCCGGGGGCACATGAAGCTTAAGCCAAGACCTCAGCCTTGCCAAGCCTGGTACATTCCTGACAATTATACACCCATATAAAGATTCTAAGCCCTTATAATATCTGTTATGTTCATACACCACGACCCGGACTCGTAGATAACAATCCCTTATATAACCATATACATATAGGCCTTGAACCCTTAACCCACAATAACCCCTTGAAGCCGTGAACTGCAAACCGACTTGCACAATATTCTCCTTATATAACCCAAAATAACCCCGAAGCTTGAAGCCCTCTCAGCCTTTTATAAAACCCTGACAAGCCTAAACCTCAAAGCCTCAGCATAACTCTCAAAACCTAGCTGGGGCTCTTCTTTGTTCCGTGGGAGTGCCTCCCGGCTACTTTAATTGCTCGCCTTTAGGTGCCTGCAGGAGCAGGCGGACTCGTCTCACCCAGGGCATTGCACAGCCGCCCGTTGATAGTCGCTACACCGAGTTTGGAAGTGAAAGGAAAACATGCGGAGGAGGCCGGCTGGGAAGATATACGTGTAAATGTGGTTTATAAGGCTTTTATATATTTAGGGTTTGGGGTTTAGGGGCTTATGGTGTTTATATAGGGGTTATATAGTTGACATATACGTGTATGTGCTACACACAGGTACACACACATACTGCTATCTGATGCACCTATATGCTTATATACATATGATCGTATGCATGTAAGTATACTTGGAGTGTCGGGGGACTTAGTAAATGGTTATTTTAAAGACTTATAAGTACTATAACCCCAATTAGGGTCAATTCTAGGGTACTTATAAGTCTACTTATTACCTATACTTACTAAGTCTCCCGACACTCCAAGTACACGGTTATCTCCACATGTGGTTGTACATGATGTGCCCTTGAATCCTATGCCATTTCTTATGAAGCCCTGAGTCTTGAACTTAAGACCACAACCAGCCCTTCAAACCCTGGACTGCACACCTTCTTGCACTATGAGTTTTAGGGTTTTAGGGTTTCAGGGTTGTAGGGTTTTAGGATTTTAGGGTCTTAAGCTTTTAGGGTTTCAGGGTTGTAGGGTTTTAGGATTTTAGGGTCTTAGGCTTTTAGGTTTCAGGGTTGTAGGGTTTTAGGATTTTAGGGTCTTAGGCTTTTAGGGTTTTAGGGTTTCAGGGTTCTAGGGTTTTAGGCTTTTAGGGTTTTAGGCTTTTAGGGGTTTGTCTTGCATGTATGTAACATGTTAGGTCGTGTGCATGTAACTACGTAGATCTTGAAGCCCTCGAAGCCCATGGCGAAGCCGAAACCGGAACCCTGCACTGACCTTTCATGAACCCCTCTGTACTGTAGATCAACATAACCCCATATATAAACCTTAAGCCCTTGCTGAGCCGGGACATAGTCCACAACCATATAAGCTAGTCGAAACCCTGAATAATGCCCCCACAACCCATTATTTACACAATGACGGCCTTTATATCAGCCTTCACCTAGAACCGTGTAGTGCCCAATAACCCTAAACGTGCAACCTTCGGAACTTTCTACAAACTTTGACCTGAAGCCCTGTCACCCTTCTATAGCCTCTTCCCTATACAACACAAACTGCTTCCCCGGGTGTAGGTTTGCCAGCATGCACGAGCTAGTTGCAAGTTGTGTCTGGTGTTGGTGATGTTCTTTGTTGTCGTCCCAGTCTGTGTCGCCCAGGGGTTTGAGCTTGTCGTCGGAAGCAGCTGTCAGAAACCGAGTTCGATAGTGCCGGCCCACGAAGACTTTTTGAGCAGGTGACAAAACATAGGCAGGGTACCCCAAAATTCAAACCGCATCGGAGCCCAGCCAACCGAAATCCGCGGTTTTGCGGCACCGGAACAAAAAACCAAAAAAAAAATTGGCGAGAGTTCCCCCCTCCTAAAACCTCGAGTGGGTTAAACAGGATTGCAGGTTTATTAAAAAATAAACTTGCACTAGGCAAGTTTATTAAAAAATAAAGTTGCACTAGGCGAGTTTATTAAAAAATAAAAAAACTAGATTCTGAACCTGAGAAGTTTATTAAAAAATAAACTTGCCTAGTGCGAGTTTATTTTTTAATAAACTTCCCTAGTGCAAGTTTATTTTTTGATAAACCTGCAAACCGAGGACCCTTGGGTTTAGGCAGCCTTGTCTTGGCTGCGAACAATGGCATTGGATTGTCAGCTGCTGGGTGGCTACACACAAGGACGGTGGAACCAACATTGGGAGAGGTGCCCAGGGAATGAAGTGGGAGGGTGCATGGGTGCATGACAGGGGGCTTGGGGTTGATGGGTGTGTCGGGTGGGTTGCCAGAACTTGAGCGACAGTCTTTGTATGTGGCACGGCAAGTGTTGCCGAGTGCAAGCAGGGCGGTGCTCGCTTGCCAGATCTCGCAGGGCCTTGCTCGCGAGATTTCCTGGACCAAGTTAGTTGCTTTTGTGCTGAACCATAGGTGTTTTACCTGCTGCCTATCATGGCTGATGATCTCGTTGCCGACATCGAGCGACTCTCTACTTTCTTGGCACAGCAGAAGGGCCAGATTCCGGAGGAAGCCTGGGATGCGATGCAGAAGAAGCACTCGGACCACTTGGTTGGTCGACTTCGGGGCTTGAGGGTCCTGACAGCGACACAGGCCAGTGCGATAAGCACGGCTGTGGCCGCTTCTTCGTCACTGTTTGTTGGCAAGAAAGCAAAGGAGGCACTGTCCGTCGAGCTCTCCAACAAGCTGGCCGACTGCCTCGATCCTTCTTCTTCCTCCAAGAACAAGAGGCAGCTGCAGGAGATCCAGTCCTTCAGGCACTACTTCACTGCCAAGGACCTGGAGATGCTTGCCGACGAGACGAAGACCGACCAAGACAAGTACGATCGAGTCTCGGCGAGGATGTTCGCGGTGGGCCTGGCCTTCCCGACTGAGGCAAGCTTCGCCATCGTGTTCCATGCTGCTATTGCAGCAGGCATCACGGTCCAGAACCCGGCAGAGGGCCTAAGGAAGCTGAACGACTTCAAGAAGTTGCACAGGAAGAAGCGGGATGGCATGAAGCTGTCCAACAAGCTCGACTCCATTCACAGGTACCCCGACGACCCTGACCAGCTGCCCGAGGAGCAGAAGGCATGCTACATCGGAGATCCTCGCCAAAGCCTCGCCGAAGAGATTGTCAAAGACGCCTCCGAAAAGCTCAGCGGCATCCGCAAAAGCAAAAAGGCGACCCAGGCCCAGGCCCTGGTCCCGTTCCAGCTCCCCTCGGCCCCCTCGAGTTCTTCTGCAGCGCCGCCGCCGGACATGTCACAGGCACTCCCCATGATGGCTCAGATGATGCAGGGGATGATGCAGATGATGCATCAGCAAATGAATCCAGGGGGTGAGCAGGCTGAGGTACCACTTCAGTACTTCAAGCCGAAGCAGAAGGCCCAGCCGAAGCAGCCGCTTGCGGTTGCCGATGGCTCCGTCGCCGGGGGCGTGAACAGCCAGGCCGAGGTCCCTCCAGAGGCTGGGGGCAAGGAGGAGCCCCCGCCCAAGGAGCCCTCGCCCAAAAAGCCGAAGCTCCAGATGGACTTGGAGCCCGAGGAGCTGGCGCGGATGGTGGGCGGGGGCAAGCCTGAGAGCGACCAGGAGGAGGATGATGAGGAGCCGGTGAAAAAGAAACCCGGAATGAAGCCAAAGGCCAAGGCAAAGACAAAGGCAAAGGCACACCCAACTCCGAAGAAGTCCACTTGGGTAAGTTGCAAAAAGGGTTGGCGTGTCGAGACACGGTTTCGCCCTGACGGCCAGTCGGATAAATATTATTACGGGTCAGATGGCCAGCGGTTCCGCAGCAAAGCGGATGCAGAGAAAGCCGGATTCTGCGGCTGACGCATGCCGGGCACGGGCGGGTGTGTATGAAAACGAGTTGGTCTGCATGTTGTGCTTGCGATCAAAGCGGCGATGCCTTAAATCTTCATGCATTGTGCAACTGTCAGGCACACGATGTCATGGCGCATCCGGGTGCAGGCCTGCAAACCCTAAACCGTAAACCCT